AATACGGTTCATGAGGTCCATGAAAACAACTGGAGCATTGCTGAGGCCGAATGGCATGACGACGAACTCGTAATGGTCGTAACGAGTCCTGAAAGCGGTCTTATCGATATCTGACTCCTTAATCTTCAGCTGGTGGTAGCCTGATCGTAAATCAATCTTTGAAAACACACAGGCTCCCCTCAACTGATCAAATAAGTCGTCGATCCTGGGAAGCGGATACTTGTTCTTGATCGTCAACCGGTTAAGATCCCGGTAGTCGATACACATGCGCATGAATCCGTCCTTCTTCTTGACAAAGAGAACAGGTGCTCCCCAAGGTGACACGCTCGACCGGATAAAACCGAGTCGTAACAGCTCCAGAATCTGCGCCTTAAGCTCCTGCAACTTCTTTGGCGCCATACGGTATGGGGCTTTGGATACTGGACCAGCCCCTGGAATGAGATCGATAGAGAACTCCACCTGCCGGTTAGGCAGTCCTCCTGGAAGCTCGTCAGGGAACACGTCGACAAACTCACGAACGACTGGAACATCGTGAGGTGATCGTGCTTTCTGAGAATCGTCGACAAGGCTTACCAGATAACCCTGGCAGTTACCTCGTCGCAGCAACTTAGTGTCTTTCGCCATCGAAACAACATGAGGCAGTGAACGATTCCTGGAGCCAAAGAAAGTAATCGACTCGTCTCCCGGAAGATAAAGAGTAATCTCCCGGTCATGACATCTGATATCTGCATGATAAAAGGATAGTCAATCCATTCCGAGAATAAGGTCGAAGTCCCTCATCTCGAGAACAAACGCGTCGGTAGACAATACTCGACCACCGATGGAAAGGCTAAGATTTGAAGCTTTAGCTGAGGTTACTATCTTTAATCCCGAGGCTAAACTCACCTCGAGAGGATCGACAGCGATAACGGCATGAACTCCGATGGCATCAAGACATCATCATAAAATGAATGAATGCGTTGCTCCAGTATCGAACAAAGCGAAAACAGGAATATCATTAAGCACAACCATCCCTGAAATAGTACCTGGCTGCTGTGCTGCCTCCGCCTGATCAACCGCGTAAACCCGGGCCTGCTGTCTGCCCCTCTCCTACTGCTGCTGAGGCGGCCTCTGCACCTGCTGACGTGGCTACTGCTGCTGTGGCGGCTGCTGAGGCTGCTGAGGCTGCTGCTGAAGTCTCTTCGGACAGCGACTCGCAAAATGTCCA